ATGACGACGACGATGACACCAGCCACTCCGTTGAGCTATCATCGGTGGGAGCCCGGAGCTCACTTCGAGCTAAATCGCTCTACGGGGGCCTTCTTACACCTCGGTTGAAGTTGTGTTGTCCGTGTTTATATATCTGGATGGCTTCATGAACGAATCTTTGCTGATAGCCAGTGGGTTTGCAGAGAACCTCCGTCTTGGCAAAATCAATTCGGCGTGTGCCCACAGCGTCAAAGCAATGATCAGCCACGGCCGAGGTATTTGTCCTACCGTGTTTTAGATCTGCCTTGTGTTCACGAACCCAGTCCGAGACATGTCGCTTAGTTTCCCCGATGTAACTGCTGCCGCAGATACAGCTTAGTTTGTAGACCCCGGGGTATTGCGTGTCAGGGATCACGTCCTTCACAGACGGGATCAGATCACGAATTGTACGTACTGTTCTTGGTTCTTTCGGTGAAGTCACGTAGAAGGGAAACAATAAAATAATAAAAATATAAAACAATAAAATTCTCGCGACGTTTCGGCCACAACGCAAGCAGCCGTCCTCAGGTGAAGAAACACAAAGGCTGTCACAAAGACAGCGTCTTAATGAACACTGCTAAGCTTAAATTTTGATTTAAAGCTTTCGTGACTGCAGGGATTCATATTCTTGGTTCTCTCGGTAAAGTCACCGCCACGTAGAAGGGAAACAATAAAATAATAAAAATATAAAACAATAAAATTCTCACGACGTTTTGACTGCAACATAATCAATCGTCATCAGGTGATTTTCACAGCTGATGATGATTGCTTGTGTTGCAGTCGGAACGTCGTGAGAACTTTATTGTTTTATATTTTTATAATTTTATTGTTTCCCTTCTAACGTGGTGACTTTACCGCAAGAACCAAGAATATATACTGCTAAGCTTGGCAGCGTCTTTTAAGCTGGGTGGGAGGAGGAGAGAGCCTTGACAAATGAGTTTACATATCAACAGAGGAATTTAGCATGTTGGTGACAAATGCAGATATGGGGTTAGTCACTCCTTCCGGAATGTGTAGGCGGTGGTGGGGGGGGTCTCAAAGTCATATTATGCTGTAGTGTATTATGTAGGATTAGCGGTAACAAAGGGAGGGAAATTTTAATAATAAAGAACTTTATTAAAGAACTGCTTATTTTACTATTTTTATATTGTTATTATTTTTATATTGTTTCCCTTCTAACGTGGTGACTTTACCGAAAGAGCCAAGAAGATGAATCCCTGCAGTCACGAAGGCTTTCAATCGAAATGTATGCACTGTGTTGAATCGTACCTGGATTCATAATAAAGGTTTTTGGGTTAGATCGCGTTTATTTATAAATGTGTCGTAACCCTCCACCACCCGACACGGCCAATCAGCAAAAAAAGTGTCACGTTGACAAAAGACAAATAATTCACTACTTTAGCCCACCGGTGTGTTAAAGAGTGAATCCACACTTACAGTTTGAGTACGACGTTTCGCTGGTAAATACATCCAGCATCATCGGGCAATTCGCCAGAATGGTAAAGCCCTCGCTTGCTCCCGGTTTTATATAGAGCAGCAGGGTGACGTGTTAAATCGTACCTGGATGTTGCGTTTGCTCATGATTTTGGAAATCTTTTTTGGTGACCCCTGGCTCGGCATGGCAAGGTGATGGTTTTGATTGGGTCCTCAGATGGTTCTTTCCCAACGGTTGGGGTGATAGCTTTACGGATTGTGAGGTCTGAATATCCATTAATCTTCAGGGCTTGGCGTACGTGCTCCAGTTCACTGGCTAGGTGGTGATGGTCGGAAATGCAACGGGCTCCATGGTGCAGTGGTACCTGGGTACACGCCGTTAATTCCTTCCAGAAGGGAGGAATCACACCGAAAATTACGGACACCAAACTAATTTTTCCCATAAGCAATGAAGGGCAAAAGGAAATCATCCGTTCCAGAGTATAAGAAATGATATTTTATATGGCACATTACACATTCATGGCGTTGTATGAACTAATGTAGACGCCACTTATTACTAAGATGCACGCATGAATAAAAATGAGGAAGAACACGTGGAAATTCACCGAGAGTTCTAGCAAGGGTCGTGCACTGAACAAGATCTAGAGGCAGACTCAGGAGCGGCACTTTGTCTCAGTCGTGAACGGGGTCTACACGGGGACGCGGTGACTCGTCCCGACCCAAGTTCTAGCAAGACGTCGTACCCCAAGACGTCGTACCCCAAGACGTCGTACCCCAAGACGTCGTACCCCAAGACGTCCTACCCCAAGACGTCGTACCCCAAGACGTCGTACCCCAAGCAAGACATCGTATTCCAAGACGTCGTACCCCAAGATGTCGTATCACAAGACGTCATATCCCAAGACGTCGTACCCCAAGACGTCGTACCCCAAGCAAGATGTCACCACTATACACTACACTACTATACACTACATCATACACTACTATACACAACACTATACACTACTATACACTACATCATACACTACTATACACAACACTATACACTACTATACATGACACTATACACAGCACCACTAAAAACTACACTATACACTACACTACTATTCACGACACTATACACTACTATACACTATAGTATACACTATACTATACACTACACTATACACTACACTATACACTACTATACACTACACCACAATACACTACACTACTATACACTACACTATACACTACTATACACTATAGTATACACTATACTATACACTATACACTACTATACACTACACACAATACGCTACACTATACACTACACTACTATACACTACACTATACACTACTATACACTGCAGCACTATTCACTACACTATACACTACACTACTATACACACTACACTACTATACACTACACTACTATACACTACACTATACGCTACTACACTATACACTACTATACACTACACTATACACAACACTATACACTACTATACACTACACTATACACTACTATACACTACACTACTATACGCTATACTATACACTACACTATACACTACACTACTATACACTACACTACTTTACACTACACTATACACTACACTATACACTACACTATACACTACACTACTATACACTACACTACTATACACTACACTACTATACACTATATTATACACTACACTACTATACACTATACACTACACTACTATACACTACTATACACTACACTATACACTACACTACTATACACTACACTATACACTACACTATACACTACACTACTATACACTACACTACTATACACTACACTATACCCTACACTACTATACACTACTCTACACTATACAACAACAACCGCCATTCGCCACTAAGTGGCGGTGACGTCACCGCGACGCTTGTGCCAGGCTATGTGCACCCTGAGGCCACGTGAAGTGTCGAACGCCCGCTGGCAGGAGGTCACTGGGCAGACCCAGGTGCCACGGGTCGACTGACTGAGATGACTGGCTGATGCACCACCTGTGCCCCCTACTGTGCCAACCTGCTGTGCTTTAGCCACCCGGCGCTCCGCTCGTTGTTCTGAGCGTCGCTCCTCCGCCCTCCGTTGTTGTTGGAGGGCGACTGCCTCCAACTGCCCAGTAGCATCCTTCACGAGCCTCCTCCACAGAGGCCGATCTTGACACCGCTGGTACCAGTCATCGGCAAGTCCACTCAGCTCCACGTCCTCCTGTACCACATCACTCCATCTCTTCTCTAGCCCGTGCCGCGCCCGCTTAGCCCCCTCAATCCGGCCGAACAAAAGCTGTTTCGGCATGCGGTGGCTGGGCAAGCGGGCTACATGACCCAGCCATCGCAGCCTTGCCCGCCGGAGGAGCTCACCGATGGGACCTTGCCCAGATCTTTCAAGGATTTGTGAGCTCCTCACACAATCCAGTCTGGTTAAACCCAGGATGGATCGTAGGCAGGCCACTATACACTACTATACACTACACTACTATACACTACACTATACACTACTATACACTACACTACTATACACTACACTATACACTACTATACACTACACTACTATACACTACACTATACACTACACTACTATACACTACACTACTATACACTACACTACTATACACTACACTACTATACACTACACTACTATACACTACACTACTATACACTACACTACTATACACTACACTATACACTACACTACTATACACTACACTATACACTACACTACTATACACTACACTACTATACTACACTACCATACACTACACTACTATGCACACTACTATACACTACACTATACACTACTACACACTACAGTCCAGGGGTCGGGAACCTTTTTGACTAAGAGAGCCATGAAAGCAAAAAATTTGGAAATTTATTTCAGTGAGAGCCATATAATATATTTTAAAAGTGAATTAAACTAAATGTCAGTATAATAAGCCTCTCAATTTATTCTTTTAAATAATGTTGTTATAACACTCACCATTAATGCGACTTCTGGTGCTGCATGGATTTGCTGATGTCTTTGTAGTCGGGTTGGTACTTTGTAGTCGGGTTGGTACTTGGTGAGGTTAAGCTTCATGCAAGCGTTGAGGCTTTCATCCGTTAAACGTGATCGTAGGTTGGACTTGATGTTTTTAAGATGTGAGAATGACTGCTCACATGCATACGTAGATCCAAACATGGTCAATACAGCAATACTCACACGCTGCAGTGTGTGGTATGTGACAGGAAGCACGTTCCAAGTTTTGAGAATCAGCTGGTCTTCGGGTTGGAGTTTTTTCATTTCTGTCCACATGTGCTTGCTCGCCAACTCCGCTTTCTGTCGTGTGATTCTTTCCAAATCTTCATTCAGTGACTTGAACTTATTCACCCACATGTCTGAGGCCTTCAGGTCAGCCACTTCTGCTTCAAAATCTCTGACGGAGACACCAGGGATGTAATTCAGGTCGGCTGTGTTCAGTGAACACTCGTTTGGATGGGTGATGAACTTAAAAAGACGAGTGTGCTCACGAAATTCTCCAAAGCGTGCTTTGAAGGACTGTAGGAGACTGGATGTGCAGCCAGCTAGCTGGTGGAGATCAAGGTTTTGAATGGGCTCACTTGCTGTGCATGCATCTTTAAATTGGCTCAGTTTTTCAAAATGTAGTAAACGACCTGTTTCAAGATCCGTGATGAAAAGCTCCAGCTTGTTTTCAAAAGCAAATACAGCTTGTTGAAGGGATAACACTGTATTTCCAATGCCTTGCATTTTCACGTTGAGCTGGTTCAGATGTTCAGTCAGATCTACGAGATAGTAAAACTTGAGGAGCCACTCGGTGTCGGCTAGCTCAGGATGCCCGACGCCATTCATTTCAAGGAAAGTCCGGATTTCGTTCAGGCAAGCCGCAAAACGGCTAAGCACCTTCCCTCTTGACAACCAACGCACATTGCTGTGCAAAAGCAGACCAGGATAGTTATTTACAACTTCATCCAGCAGTGTTTTAAACTGGCGATCATTTAAGGCTCGGGCAACAATAAAGTTGATCACACGAATGACCAGCGACATCACTTCGCCAAACTGCCTGTCACACATCTGAGCACAAAGTGCCTCCTGGTGTATAATGCAATGGAAACTTAGGATGGGTCTATTTTCATGTTCACGGAGAAGCGCCACAAATCCTTTGTTTTTCCCCACCATACACGGAGCACCATCAGTACACACTGAGAGAAGTTTATCCATAGGTAGACTTTTTTCTTGAGCAAACTCCATGAAAGACTTGAATAAATCCTCACCTCTTGTGGACCCTTTTAATGGCAGAACAGCAAGACTTTCTTCGCGCAGTGTGTCACCAACAGCATATCTTGCAATCACGCTGAACTGCGACAAATGGCTCACGTCTGTTGACTCATCCAAAGCCAGAGAAAAGAACGGCGCTGCATTTATGTCCTTCACTTGCGTTTCCTCCACTTTGTTTGCCATCACGATGGTACGATCATGAACAGTTCTTGCCGACAGAGGCATGTCTTGTATCCGTTTGATTATCTTGTCTTTGTTCGGAAGATCATCAAAAAGTTCATTGGCTACATCCAGCATGAACGTTTTAGCATACTCGCCATCTGTGAATGGTTTTCCGTTCCTCACTATTGCTAAAGAACCAGCAAAGCTAGCCGAATTATAGTCACCTTGCCGGGTCCATACGCGGAGTTGCTGCTGGCTAGCTTGCACCCTGCTCAGAAGCTCTTGGCACGCTTTCTTTCTGCTGTCTCCCGCAGGGTATTTTGATGCAAAGGTAGCGTGGCGCGTGTCGAAGTGCCGCTTTACATTCGACCGTTTCAACGATGTAATTTTGTCATTGCAAATTAGACACACCGCAGAACCCGCTCTCTCCACAAAGGCGAATTCTTCGGTCCATTCGTCCTGAAATGTACGATACTCGTCGTCTTTTTTTCTTTTCGCCATCTTCTTCGTCGAAGGGTTAGCTTTGAGCTAATGACCGAGCAGACGCAGTCTCAGACTGATTCAAAAGGGGGTGTTTACCTGTTTTACCCAGCAACGGCAAACGTAGGCCAGTATCATCCAATTAAAATAATGGACAATTGCTCCTGCAGCCCTGAACAGGACATGCGCAGTGAAAAATCGATGGATGGATTAAAACAAGTGAGAATATTTTGTTTTATCTGCGAGCCATATGCAATCATCAAAAGAGCCACATCTGGCTCGCGAGCCATAGGTTCCCGACCCCTGCACTACACTATACACTACACTACTATACACTACACTACTATACACTACACTACTATACACTACACTACTATACACTACACTATACACTACACTACTATACACTATACTATACACTACACTATACACTACACTATACACTACTATACACTACACTACTATACACTACACTACTAGTGTCACGTAAACACAAAACGTGGTGGACAATTCGTCACTTAGTTACAGCCACTAACGCGTTGTGGTTACTTTACATTAAACAACATTTGATTTTTCACGACGCGAGCGGCGATGGCTTCGGTTGACGATGCACAACCGACGGGGCGAATCGTTTGTTTATTTTAAAAATGTTAGTTTAATCTTTTTAAACATTCCGACCTTTTTTTTTTACGTCGGAGAGCGGATCCGGGCTGGGGCGGAGCGCCGAAGAGGAGGCCGCGCGTGCTCCCCTCGGAGCCTACGGCCTTGCCTGAATCGCCCCGCCGGCTCTGGTGCACCACGCTCGGCCTGCGTGGGGGTGCCCACCACCCCCCTCTCGGTACCTTTTCGCGCTTGTCCCAGCTGTACTTCTTTGATGGAGCCTCTTCCACCACGGCCTCCTCCTCCTCCTCGCCGCCTTCTCCTCCGCCCTCGCCACGATTCTTTTTGCTCGATTTCTTTGAGAATAGGCAGCCCATGGTTCTTGCTGTGCGGTGTGCGGTGGCTGTGTGTGGTGGTGGTTGTTGTGTGTGTGTAGTGTGTGTGGTGTGGTGTGTGTGTGGTGGTGGTTGTGTGTGTGGTGGTGGTTGTGTGTGGTGGTGTGTGTGGTGTGTGTAGTGTGTGTGTGTGGTGGTGGTGTGTGGTGGTGGTTGTGTGTGTGGTTTGTGTAGTGTGTGGTGTGTGTAGTGTGTGTGGTGGTGGTGGTTGTGTGTGTGGTGTGTGTAGTGTGTGTGGTGGTGTGTGTAGTGGTTGTGTAGTGTGTGTTGTGTGGTTGTGTGTGTGGTGGTGGCGTAGTGGTGTGTGGTGGCTGAGTGTGGTGTGTGTAGTGTGTGTGGTGTGGTTGTTTGTGTGATGGTGGTGGTGTGTGGTGGTGGTTGTGTGTGTGGTGGCTGAGTGTGGTGTGTGTAGTGTGTGTAGTGTGTGTGGTGGTGTGGTGGTGTGTGTGGTGGTGTGGTGGTGTGTGTGGTGGTGGTGTGTGTAGTGTGTGTGGTGTGTCTAGTGTGTGTGGTGTGGTGGTGGGGGTGTGGTGGTGATGTAGTGGTGGTGGTGTAGTGGTGTGTGTGGTGGCTGAGTGTGTGGTGTCTAGTGAGTGTGTAGTGTGTGTAGTGTGTGGTGTGGTGGTGATGTAGTGGTGGTGGTGTAGTGGTGTGTGTGGTGGCTGAGTGTGTGGTGTCTAGTGAGTGTGTAGTGTGTGGTGTGGTGGTGGTGTAGTGGTGGTGGCTGAGTGTGGTGTGGTGGTGTGTGTAGTGTGTGTGTGGTGGTGGTGTGGTGGCTGAGTGTGTGGTGGTTGTTGTAGTTGTGGTATCGTGAAACAAGCTGGCGACGAAGCTCACACACACTCACAACACCCTTCTCCCCCCGCAGCTCAGCAGCGTTGCCTGCTGAGCTGCTGCTGCTACTGCTGATTGCTGCTATGACTACTGCTGCTGTGACTGCTGCTATGACTACTGCTGCTGCTATGACTACTGCTGCTGCTGCTGCTATGACTACTGCTGCTATGACTACTGCTGCTGCTGTTACTGCTGCTATGACTACTGCTGCTGCTGGTGTTACTACTACTGTGACTGCTGCTATGACTACTGCTGCTGTGACTACTGCTGCTATGACTACTGCTGCTGCTGTTACTGCTGCTACTGCTGCTGTGACTGCTGTGACTGCTGCTACTGCTGTGACTGCTGCTGCTACTGCTGCTGCTGTGACTACTCCTACTGTGACTACTGCTACTGTGACTACTGCTACTGTGACTGCTGCTACTGTGACTACTGCTGCTGTGACTACTGTTGCTGTGACTACTGTTGCTGTGACTACTCCTACTGTGACTACTGCTACTGTGACTACTGCTACTGTGACTACTGCTACTGTGACTACTGCTACTGTGACTACTGTTGCTGTGACTACTGTTGCTGTGACTGCTGCTACTGTGACTGCTGTTGCTGTGACTACTGTTGCTGTGACTGCTGCTACTGTGACTACTGTTGCTGTGACTACTGTTGCTGTGACTACTGTTGCTGTGACTGCTGCTACTGTGACTACTGTTGCTGTGACTGCTGTTGCTGTGACTACTGTTGCTGTGACTACTGTTGCTGTGACTGCTGCTACTGTGACTACTGTTGCTGTGACTACTGTTGCTGTGACTACTGTTGCTGTGACTACTGTTGCTGTGACTACTGCTACTGTGACTACTGCTACTGTGACTACTGTTGCTGTGACTACTGTTGCTGTGACTACTGTTGCTGTGACTACTGTTGCTGTGACTGCTGTTGCTGTGACTACTGTTGCTGTGACTACTGTTGCTGTGACTGCTGTTGCTGTGACTACTGTTGCTGTGACTGCTGTTGCTGTGACTACTGTTGCTGTGACTGCTGTTGCTGTGACTACTGTTGCTGTGACTACTGTTGCTGTGACTACTGTTGCTATGACTGCTGTTGCTGTGACTGCTGCTGCTGTGACTACTGCTACTGTGACTACTGTTGCTGTGACTACTGTTGCTGTGACTACTGCTACTGTGACTACTGTTGCTGTGACTACTGTTGCTGTGACTACTGTTGCTGTGACTACTGTTGCTGTGACTGCTGTTGCTGTGACTACTGCTACTGTGACTACTGCTACTGTGACTACTGCTACTGTGACTGCTGTTGCTGTGACTGCTGTTGCTGTGACTGCTGTTGCTGTGACTACTGTTGCTGTGACTACTGTTGCTGTGACTACTGTTGCTGTGACTACTGCTGCTGTGACTACTGTTGCTGTGACTGCTGTTGCTGTGACTACTGTTGCTGTGACTACTGTTGCTGTGACTACTGCTACTGTGACTACTGCTGCTGTGACTACTGTTGCTGTGACTACTGTTGCTGTGACTACTGTTGCTGTGACTGCTGTTGCTGTGACTGCTGTTGCCGTGACTACTGTTGCTGTGACTGCTGTTGCTGTGACTACTGTTGCTGTGACTACTGTTGCTGTGACTACTGTTGCTGTGACTGCTGCTACTGTGACTACTGCTACTGTGACTACTGTTGCTGTGACTACTGTTGCTGTGACTACTGCTACTGTGACTACTGTTGCTGTGACTACTGTTGCTGTGACTACTGTTGCTGTGACTACTGCTGCTGTGACTACTGTTGCTGTGACTACTGTTGCTGTGACTACTGTTGCTGTGACTACTGTTGCTGTGACTACTGTTGCTGTGACTACTGCTACTGTGACTACTGCTGCTGTGACTACTGTTGCTGTGACTACTGTTGCTGTGACTACTGTTGCTGTGACTACTGTTGCTGTGACTACTGTTGCTGTGACTGCTGTTGCTGTGACTACTGTTGCTGTGACTACTGTTGCTGTGACTACTGCTACTGTGACTGCTGTTGCTGTGACTACTGTTGCTGTGACTACTCCTACTGTGACTACTGCTACTGTGACTACTGCTACTGTGACTACTGCTACTGTGACTACTGCTACTGTGACTACTGTTGCTGTGACTACTGTTGCTGTGACTGCTGCTACTGTGACTGCTGTTGCTGTGACTACTGTTGCTGTGACTGCTGCTACTGTGACTACTGTTGCTGTGACTACTGTTGCTGTGACTACTGTTGCTGTGACTGCTGCTACTGTGACTACTGTTGCTGTGACTGCTGTTGCTGTGACTACTGTTGCTGTGACTACTGTTGCTGTGACTGCTGCTACTGTGACTACTGTTGCTGTGACTACTGTTGCTGTGACTACTGTTGCTGTGACTACTGTTGCTGTGACTACTGCTACTGTGACTACTGCTACTGTGACTACTGTTGCTGTGACTACTGTTGCTGTGACTACTGTTGCTGTGACTACTGTTGCTGTGACTGCTGTTGCTGTGACTACTGTTGCTGTGACTACTGTTGCTGTGACTGCTGTTGCTGTGACTACTGTTGCTGTGACTGCTGTTGCTGTGACTACTGTTGCTGTGACTGCTGTTGCTGTGACTACTGTTGCTGTGACTACTGTTGCTGTGACTACTGTTGCTGTGACTGCTGCTACTGTGACTACTGCTACTGTGACTACTGTTGCTGTGACTACTGTTGCTGTGACTACTGCTACTGTGACTACTGTTGCTGTGACTACTGTTGCTGTGACTACTGTTGCTGTGACTACTGCTGCTGTGACTACTGTTGCTGTGACTACTGTTGCTGTGACTACTGTTGCTGTGACTACTGTTGCTGTGACTACTGTTGCTGTGACTACTGTTGCTGTGACTACTGCTACTGTGACTACTGCTGCTGTGACTACTGTTGCTGTGACTACTGTTGCTGTGACTACTGTTGCTGTGACTACTGTTGCTGTGACTACTGTTGCTGTGACTGCTGTTGCTGTGACTACTGTTGCTGTGACTACTGTTGCTGTGACTACTGTTGCTGTGACTACTGTTGCTGTGACTACTGTTGCTGTGACTACTCCTACTGTGACTACTGCTACTGTGACTACTGCTACTGTGACTACTGCTACTGTGACTACTGCTACTGTGACTACTGTTGCTGTGACTACTGTTGCTGTGACCTGCTGCTACTGTGACTGCTGTTGCTGTGACTACTGTTGCTTGTGACTAGCTGCTACTGTGACTACTGTTGCTGTGACTACTGTTGCTGTGACTACTGTTGCTGTGACTGCTGCTACTGTGACTACTGTTGCTGTGACTGCTGTTGCTGTGACTACTGTTGCTGTGACTACTGTTGCTGTGACTGCTGCTACTGTGACTACTGTTGCTGTGACTACTGTTGCTGTGAACTACTGTTGCTGTGACTACTGTTGCTGTGACTACTGCTACTGTGACTACTTGCTACTGTGACTACTGTTGCTGTGACTACTGTTGCTGTGACTACTGTTGCTGTGACTACTGTTGCTGTGACTACTGTTGCTGTGACTACTGTTGCTGTGACTACTGTTGCTGTGACTGCTGTTGCTGTGACTACTGTTGCTGTGACTGCTGTTGCTGTGACTACTGTTGCTGTGACTGCTGTTGCTGTGACTACTGTTGCTGTGACTACTGTTGCTGTGACTACTGTTGCTATGACTGCTGTTGCTGTGACTGCTGCTGCTGTGACTACTGCTACTGTGACTACTGTTGCTGTGACTACTGTTGCTGTGACTACTGCTACTGTGACTACTGTTGCTGTGACTACTGTTGCTGTGACTACTGTTGCTGTGACTACTGTTGCTGTGACTGCTGTTGCTGTGACTACTGCTACTGTGACTACTGCTACTGTGACTACTGCTACTGTGACTGCTGTTGCTGTGACTGCTGTTGCTGTGACTGCTGTTGCTGTGACTACTGTTGCTGTGACTACTGTTGCTGTGACTACTGTTGCTGTGACTACTGCTGCTGTGACTACTGTTGCTGTGACTGCTGTTGCTGTGACTACTGTTGCTGTGACTACTGTTGCTGTGACTACTGCTACTGTGACTACTGCTGCTGTGACTACTGTTGCTGTGACTACTGTTGCTGTGACTACTGTTGCTGTGACTGCTGTTGCTGTGACTGCTGTTGCCGTGACTACTGTTGCTGTGACTGCTGTTGCTGTGACTACTGTTGCTGTGACTACTGTTGCTGTGACTACTGTTGCTGTGACTGCTGCTACTG